CGTGACCGTCGTCGTCGTCGAATATGTATTCATCGTCATCATTATCTTTATCGTTTGGCGTTCGTCGTTGTATGTGACGAATAGCAACTCTCAGATACTTGTTTATAGCACTCAATTCGTACGATCCTTCGGGAATCGTTATCACTTTATCGTCGGTATTGAAGTAGAAGTTATTATTCGTGGAAGTAACATTCGATATCGCGTTGTACGTCTCGAAATTCGTAAGACCCAATTCGTATTCACCGTTACTTAAATCCAACGCAGGGAAGTAACTCGTCGTGAGAATACTGGTTGTTCCAGTTAACGTGAGAGTCAATGACATGATGTAATCGAAGGTAAACGCTCAACTGAGATGACTCACACGACGCATTATTAGATATATTTTTTTCTCCAATCTATTTCTCGAAGAAATCGTAGACACAACTGACCACAAATACTCTGATCGAACGTTTGATAAGAGCGACGATTATATTATACGTTACGTTGTTTCCGAGATAGTGTTCGAGTTCCCTTGACGGTCTAAGATTGCCAAAACCATCGAAGTAAACAGCATTATTTCCCTTTTTCGCATAAGCAATCCAGTGTGTACCCGCATTTTCCGAATTATCGAGATTTACGATACCGCTTTCATTACTATGTGGTTTCGTCGGTAACGCGTCACGCATAAACACACCTCTGAAGAATGGTAAACGCAAACGATACGCCGCACGATTCAACTGTTCGTTCGTTGTGAGAGCAGTATTTTAAGAGTCTCTAACGTTTCCTTCCACGATATTTTTTTTTACCTCTTGCCTTTCTTTTCTTCACATTACCACCGCTACCACGTTTGTAGGGCGCTAGGTACAGTCCACGACCTTCTGTCTGACGTCGAGCAGCTTTGCGATCGCTTACAGCTCTCGCCGCGCTCGCCGCTCCACCGATCAAAGATCCGAGTGTACCCAACATTGGTAACCTCCGCGTTTCGTTAATGGAAGTAGTCTCTTCCTTTTTGTTTTTTTCCTTCTTTTCATACCCATCCCTAATTTCGTTTTTGCTTTCATGGCTGCCCATACAACGGTCGCGGCAGCTTTCTCACAAACGTCGAATCACTCGCTGTTATACGTTCGCGTGCTCTTTCGGCAAGAACTCGATCGGCAATGTGACGATCGGTGAGATCGTTGCTTAGCGAATAGGCGATATCGTGTTCGCGACACACCGCATCCAATCGATTTATACCTCGATCGCCACGTACTAGTCTTTTCGCGAGACGAGTACACAAAATTGATAACCAGGTATATGTACTTCGAACGAAGCGCGTTTATTGTCTTGTCAAGTAAACCTGCTCTATACGCAGGAGTCATTCCTTCCTCCTCCACGCTATCTTATTTCATACGACATATGTCACAATTTTTGATAAGTGATGGCGGACCGTCTATGTGTGTTCGTTGCCACGAACGTACACGGACGATAGCGTTGCACTTCAGGATCCGTTTTTAAATGTTCGGGTAACCGATCCCACAGCTCCACGTAATTCTCAA